GAAACCAATCTCCATGTTTCAAAACCATGATGAGGGCAAGTACTAAGCAAGTCTCGATACCTATCCCAACATTTGTAAAATGTTTCTCCTGGTTTTTGAGTGAAAGTGGTGATTTGTCTCTTGAAAGAGTTTGTTCTATGAGATGGGAAAAACTTCTTTAAAAATTGTTGTTGCATTTCATCCCAAGCACGAATGGATCCTGGTCTTAAATTTTGTAGCCATGTTTTAGCTTTATCTTTTAATGAAAAAGGAAAAAGCTTTAATCTGATGGTGTTCATGCTACAATTTAAATTATTATATGTGTTGCACACCTCCTCAAATTCCCTTAAATGCAAGTATGGATTTTCCAATTCTAAACCATGAAAAGAAGGTAAAAGTTGAATAATACCTGGTTTAAAATTAAAATGAGATGCATCGGGAGGAAAAACTATGCATGATGGTGCACTTGTTCTTGTGGGATTCATGTGGTCTCTAAGTGTTCTAGCACGGTTATTCTCATTATTCTCATTTTGAAGTGATTGATTATCTTCTTCGGCCATATTTTCTAAAAATGATGAGGATATCCTACAAAGTCTACCACTTGATGTACGTGACCACACTCTCATGCACGTGTAGAAATAAAATAAAAGGAAGAAGAAAATAAAAGAAGAAGAAACAAGAGAAAAGAAACAAAGTTATATACAAGAAAAGTGAAAAGAGAAAATAAAATAAATATTATAATTTATACAAGAACTTACCTCCCCGGCAACGGCGCCAAAAACTAGATCATCCTTAGCTTCATCTGCAGAGTTCCTAGCAACACTCTCCTCCTTCTTAGCTTCTTTACCCCTTTTATTACGCCCTCCATTAGACCTAGTCTCTAATTTCTCAATCCTAGTCACCAGCTTACCAAACATAAATTTCATCTGTTGTTGTATTCTTGAAAGCCCATCTTCTGGGATTTCATCCTTTTTTTGTGGCACACTATTAGAAGATATTTTTTTTAAACTTGCATGAAAATTGTTTGCAATAAAAATAAAACCTCACACACTCATGTTTCACATAAATTTATAGGCTTTTCACTTGAATATGTTGCTTATGCCTTTTTCCACTCAAATTGCCTTTCTTTAGTTCTTGAAATCACTTAGCAACAATTTAGAAAAAGAAACTAACTATGCAGTGAATTTATAAATTTGATATAGACTCCGAAGCAAGAAATTGTGAAACTAACAAAACAAAACTCGATGATAAATTCACGAATAGCAATGCAAATTTGTGCGAATAATATGATGATTTAAAGACACAAAAAAGAAATCAGAAAAGAGCTAAACAATTATGAATTATCAAGAACTACAGATTTAATTCAAGAAAAATATATAAACTCAAGAAAATCAACTAAACTACCCAAATTTTCAAGAAACATAAATAAGACTACTAAAAGATTCATGAATAAAGACTAACCAATTTCCCACAGTTTTCTTAAGCATGTATTAGGCCAAAACTATATAAAAAAAATTGATTCTTTTTCTTTTTTTTTTATGCAGCAGCAATCAAGATTTCAAGATCAACCTCCTTTTATGTATATATATATATTAAGAACAAAACAAAATCAAGAACTTAGGTGTGTATGCCGATTTTAATCAAGAACGCATCAAAAGAACACTAACTTATGATTAAGTGTTCAACAAAGCAACAAAAAGTAAGATCCCCATTTTATATATATAGAGGTGGTCGAATCTATCAAGAATCAAACAAGAAACAATAAAGGCTCAAATTGAAAGATATAACTTGTGATTAGATCAGCTATGATACCAACTAATGCAAATCCTGGCAAAATTTAATGGTATTCGCAACCCCAAGATCAATCTAACCCAAGTTTGTTGGGATTTGAATGAGCTTATCACAATGGAAGACTTGCTTCAAGGCTTTAAACCAACTCGATCACAATATATACACCTAAAGACAAGTAAAAGAATTTATAAATTCACAATAAAGAATGGTCAATTCTTTGAAGAGTTGAAAGTTCAATCAAGAACCAAGATTGAGCAGTCAAAAGCCGGCTACAATACTGAAAATATCATCAAAAATTTTGACTTAAAAACATTCCTAAAAATTATTTAAACTCTAAGCCAAAACCCTAGTTTCCCTAATGGGTCTCACATAAACCCAATTTAAATAATAATCAACCCAAGTTAAAACTAGCCCAAACTAATTAAAATAAATAAAATAAAGAAGTCTAAAACCCAAACAAGTTGTCTCCTCTCAAAATAAATAAAGTTTGATAGCCCAACTAATTAAATAAGACAAGTTCGTTGTTTTTGAATTTTGTCTGACAGCAACAAGGCCCAACTTAAAATGGATGGTTCTCTCTCATCTTAATGAATTAGAAGGTGTTCCATATATCGTTGGAAAGGTATGGAAGTCTAGTTTACAGCCCAACTAGAATAAATCAAAATTCAATATGTACCTCCAGTTATGACCAAAAGAGTAACAAAAGGTCAAACTGTCTGAATCTAGTCTTCTTCTCTCAATCCTTGTGTAATGGTCTTGGTTCCACCAACAAGCCCCTCTTAAATATGACTCAGATTAATCAAGGCTTGCTCTTTATTATTACAAATTCTCTTGAAGCCCACCTTAGTCCATGTATCTTGAAGAAGTTCATTGAAAGCTTCTTTGAACTTCTTAGCCCTAAGCCTAGTAACTAGACCAACTGGAACCTCCAATGGATCCTTTGATGGTTGGATCGTATCAGCTGGGTTCCCAAAATCCATACATGCACCGAAAACAATAAACTTTAGGTAATATTCGAGAGTCCCTAGGATCCTATTAGATAGATTTAGAGTTGATTAGAGATTTATTGCTTGAAAATCTGATCTTCTTTATATTTGAATAATTTTTTAAAGGTTAGATTGTTGCAAATCATAAGTTATTCAATTTTCTAACATTTAACGATAATTCATACAAATCACCAATGATAAATCTTTTAAATCTCTATTTAGGAGAAAGGAAATTACTATGCCAAAAGTGTTGACTCTTTATTTTGTGACTTAAATAGTTTTTTGTCTAACAAACAACCTCTTAAAAAATAAGAGGCATACCTTTATATTTATAATGAATCTTAAAAATTTTATAAATGAAAAAAAAAATATTTGCCCCCTTAAATAATATCCATATATTATTTAAGAGTAATTTTAGAAATTTAATCAATGAAGTCTCTACTTTATTATTGTAAGACTAGAATTATAATCCCTAATTAAATGCATTCTAGTGCTTAATTTTCAAAATTATTTTCAATCAAGTCACACATGATTAGTTATCTTAGTTTAATTTCTATATAATGATTTTTAATGCATGTGACCTATTAGGTTTCTAATATGTTGGCCTAGATATAAATTATAACTCTAAATAGATAGAATTGAATAATTTAATTTATTATCAATTCAATAATTGATTAATTTATATTTGAAAATCAAGTACATCATCTAACAACTTGTTATGACTCTCTAAATATTAAAAAAATCATAGATGGTTTGACTTAACCTTTTAATAACTGGTTTCTTAGTGTAATTATTATCATTTCATCCAATAATATTTTAATTTAGGTATTAGCATAGAGTGTGTCTCTCATGTCAAATTATATTTGTTTATACTATTATAATCATTGATCTCTTTTAATAAGATTTGAAACTCTTTTCAAATCTCATTCCATCTTATGTAAAGATTTAACATTCAATACAATTTGAGAACATATGAGTTATTGACCCTAATTCATCTAAGGTGATTAATCCTCTCTTAATCACTCAAATATCTTTATATAATTTATGTTATATCCAATGTTTGCTCATTTGATACATTTATCAAGATAATATGTAATAGGATCAAAACATAACATTTTATATATAAGATAACTTAATGATCTTAATTCTAAGAATCACTTACATAACCATCACGTGAACCTTTGCATTAACACAAGTGATATCTCCATATAGAATTCTCATGCAAGTCAGTTTAGTATACATGTCTTACGACAAATACTTATATATTAATTCTATGTATCTCTTTTATCTCAATTTATGAGAACAATTGTTTCCTTTCATAAAAAAAAAAAAAAACATAATATGTATCAGTTTCAACAAATGTAATAAATGTTCAATATTTAAGAGGGTATCGACTAGGAACATTTCAAGAATAATATTTTGATGCAACAAAAATTTCATAATTATAATAACTTTATAATCTTCTTTGCAAATTATTTTTATTCCATGAACTTTCTCTCTACTTTAGATTTATAAATCAAATATTAGATTTATTAATCTAATATTATATGAATACTAAAAATAAATTAAAATTTTATTAATAATAAATATATATTTATATGAATATAATAATTTCATATACAATTTATACATATTAAACACATTAACTGACTAAGGCATGTTAAGCTAATAGATTCACTGACTAAGGCATGTTAAGCTAATAGATTCAGCTTTGGGCTGTGTAAGTTTCAACACAGCGCTGAAAACTTTACATTTATGTTTCATCGGAATGCATGTCTAACCTCGGCAGTTTAGGCTCCAATGTAATCTGTTCCCCATGTCTAATTCCTTGTCCTCTGTCCACCACAAACAAAAACCTGATTCTGAGTTCACTGTTGGGCGGTTCACTTGTTATATTACGGGTGTTTACTTTGCTTAACAAATGTTCATTTATGATAAAGTTTACAACTAATTTGTAGCTCTAGTTGAGTACTTTAATGTGTGAAGTTTGAGTTTCTGAAAATTCTCGTGTTAGATGCATAGGATTTCTTGATTCCTGGAGTTCGTTGTCTTTTGCTCCTTTACACTTCCAAATTTATGGTTTCATGTGGTTTGCCTGGCAATCAAATGTTCTGATTATCAGAAATCAAACAATAAAGCTCTACCCTAATTATCCATTATTATGTGAAAGTTTGGAAGATTATACAGCTCACAACAGCACTAGGATTACCAAAAGATAATTCTTTTAAGAAAAAAAAATAGTAGTTAGTTGCATGTCATCTGTACAATTGTTATCTCTTAGACAAATATACATACCGCGTTTAACCTCTCTCCTCTCTTTCTCAAAACGGGGAAAATTCATAAACCAGGAAAAGACAAAAAAAACAGAAGAAACCCAGTAAAACCATTGACACAAATTGAAGGTCAAGATGGTTTGGAACGTGAGGTGGAAAGAGAAATAGCAATAATCCTGCAGACTCCAGTTACGAAGCCAAGCAAGCCTCCCAAAACAGCCTGTTCTTCTCCTTCTCATTCATTGATTCATTGGCTGAATCCACTGAAACACATGATTTTTGCTTCATTGGTAACCCAGCATGTCCATGATCAACCCGTGATTGATAAACATGAACTCCCTTATCCTGCTGCTGCTTCTCCTGCTCCTGCTCCTCCTGCTCTTCATCAACCACATTATAATTAACATGATATTCTTCAACCTCAATGTAGACACCATTAACACAAGAATGGTATGATGTATCACAGCTACATGACTCTGCATCACCATCATCATCATCAACAAGATCTACGAAGGTCATGTTGGGATCAGAATCAACCTCAGAATCACCTGTAGCTTCCACTAGCAAGAAAGAAGAAACATCAACAGATTTCTTCATTCTCTCCATTTCTTTGTCACTCAATGGTTAGAAGATTTCCTCCTCTTGGACGAAGCCCAGGTATTTAAAGTAATAAAGAAAATAATTAATGTTGGGTCGTCTTGTAATTTGCTGAGTTTGAACTTTGAATAGAAAGAATTAAGTTTTCTTTTAATTGTTTAGTCAAGCCAATTATATTAATAGAAGGAAAAGGCGGAAAGCCATGAAAGAGATTGAAATGAAATGACGCAGACAACGATCAACCATGTGATTAATCTTCTAGAAGGTATCATACATGGTAGGGCAGGGCACGCAATTTATAATCATCATCAACACCGCCTAGTGTTTAGACTTTAGACACCTTTTTCTTTTCTTTTTCTTTTTTGATACAGGAGTAGGTTAATTTAAGGAGTACTATTTTTGTTCTTTTTTCTTTTTATTTTTAGATAAAAAAAACATTGATATGTTAAAAAGAAAATGCATTAGTGATTTGTGTGTGTTTAATATTTTTGCTTAAAAGCTTATGATTAAAAGTCTAAAGGTAAAATAATAACTTAATGTATTTAAACTTGGTAAAATGTCAAGTTTAAATAACATGAATCTAACCTACTTTCAAGTCCAATATCTTTTGAGTATAGTTACGCGTCGAACTCAAGTACATGTGGATCTGATAAAATGTTAGACTTAATACTTTTATATTGAGCTACATGTCAGACCTAAGTACATATGAGTTTAGTGAAATGTTAGATTCAACACCCTTCGGTTTAGCTATGCACCAAGCCCAAATACATATGGGTCTAGCAAGGTACTAGACCCAACATCCTTGGGTTCAACTATATGATGAGTCCAATTACATATGGATCTGATGAGATGCCAATCCCAACATCCTTAAGTTTAGTTACATGTTAAGCCTAAATGCATATGGGTCTAGCTAGATGTCAGGCGCAATATTCTTAGGTTCAGTGACGTGTTGAGCTCAAATGCATGTGAGTCGTATAGATATCAAATCCAATGGTCTTGAATTTAACTACATGTTGAGCTCAAGTATATGTGGATTTGGAGAGATATCAAACTCAAATCTCTTAGGTTCAGCTACACACTAGGCCTAAGTATATATGGGTTTGGCGAGGTGCTAGACCCAACATTCTTGAGTTCAGCTACGTCCTGAGTCAATGTATATATAGGTTTAACAAGATGTTAAACCCAATACTTTTACATGTTGAGCCCAATTACACAAGGGGCTCACAAGGTGTTAGACTCATCATGTTAAGCCCATGTACACGTGACGAGATGTCAAACCTAACCCTCTTAGGTTAAGCTAAAAGTTAAACCCAACTACTTATATGTTTGACAATGTACTAAACCCAACATCCTTAGGTTCACCTATGTGCTGAGCCCAAATACATATGATTTTAGAAAAATATCAAACCTAATATTTTTTTATTTAGCTATGTGTTAAACCCAAGTCCACGTGAGCATGAAGAGATGTTAGACTCAGCATCATTGGGCTTTGAATCATTACATCTCCAAATACATAGAGAGTTGATAATCTTTTAAGGTCTCATATTAGGTTACAACGATTTGTTTATTTATTTTTATGTCTTTTAACATAAAATATTAAAGGTTAAGAAGTATAATCTCCTTATATCCCTAAGTACATAAAAGTCTTCGAATGATCTATTTCATCAACATTAACATTGTGTAAGAGATATATATCACTCATTAATAGTGTGTAAGTGATATTTATATTTCTAATTAATGTATCAGTTGAAGATGACAAACTCAGCGTCAAACCCAACATTATTGGATTTAACTATATGTTGAACCCAAGTCCATGTAAATGTGAAGAGATGTCAGACTCAGTATTATTGGGCTTGGAATCATTACATCTCCAAATACATATAGAGTTTATAATCTTTTAAGGTCTCATATTAGATCACAAGGATTTGTTTGTTTATTTTTATGCCTTTTAATATAAAATATTAAAGGTTAAGAATGATAATCTCCCTACATCCCTAAGTACATAAAAGTCTTCTAATGACCTATTTCATCAATATTAACATTGTGTAAGAGATATATATCACTCATTAATAGTGTGTAAGTGATATTTATGTTCCTAATTAATATATCAGAAGGAGATAACATTCTAACATTTTCACTCAAGCAACATGATAAAGTTTAGAGACTATGCATACCCATGAACCACCCAGGTAAATAGTCTTTTTTTTACTATTCTTTAAGCATTCATATACTTATTTCTTGAGCATTCATCATACATAACTATGAACAAACATTCTTATTATTAAAATTTATATCTCATTCTCTCATTTATTGTAATCTCTTATTAAAAGTAATTGACTTTATTATCAAAATGTTTCTAACTGCCACTAAAAAGGACTATTTTGTAGGTGTGTAGTCTTTTATTATAAATCAACAATTTCTTAAATTCTGAAGAAGGGAATATTCAATATGTTATTATCCTCTATCCAAACACTAAAAAAACCTTTATTCCTAAGCGTATTGGATTTTGAAACATTATCAATTGGCGTTATTTGTTGGAAGCTAATAAAAAAGTTATCAACTAGTTTTTGACATCACTAATTGCTATTAATGGCAAATAATTAAGATATTTCTAGGATGGAACATGTCACAGACCTCCATGTGAAGGCGAGCACATTTGCTCCATCAGAGTTTCAATAACTCATCAATTAAAAGTAAGCTTTTACCCAAGTAATGTTGGTATCCCAAGAGCAACATCAAGCCTTGTCTTCTTAACAAGTTATAGCACATAAGGTAGCTCCTTTAGTCATAACCTCTCAACCATAAACAGTCCCCTTTGCTACGAGTCCATTGTATTATCTAGAAAAGGCTGAGCAAAATAACTTAAAAGGCTTTCCTCCCCAATGATCTCTTAATCTCTTTAGAGATCATTCTAATAGACATGAAGCTCTTCCAATAAATAATAACTTTATACCTGATCCTTCTAGCTAAAGTGGGATTAAAGTTAACTATCAATTTTTTAATTCCATGTTAGAATTATCCAGCTCCTAAAGTCAATTCCATAAAAGTCAAGATAGAGTATGACTGGTAAATACATCCAAGATAAAGTTTACAATCCTTATAAGATAAAAGGATTATCTTTATCTAAGTCGGTCCTATACACCTTTATCTTTAAGGAGTACATCTCCACTAAGATGACTTTAGACAATTATAATGGTTACATAGATCAATAAGAACATGTCTAAAACATATATAACAACCTTAAGTTGGTCATCCAAAATAGTGATGTTATGCGCAAGATCTTCCCTACAACCTTTAAAAAGTCAGTACAAACCTAGAATAACAACATAGGGATGGGCTATGTCATGGGTTTTAATGTCCTATGTGCTAAAATTATGCCATAATTTAGCACCAGTATACCCGTCATGAGGAGCTCTAAAGAAGTCTTTAGCATTACTCAATTAAGAGGGAAATCCACCAAGACATATTTAAAAAGGTTCAATGAAGAAATGCTTAAGGTAGAGGAATTGATTGAGTTAGTAGCTTTAAAGGCTTTGATAAGTGGAGTAAGGGAATGTTCTCTATGGAAAGATTTGTATGCTCTACCAAAAAGAAGTTTTTTTAAAATAAAAAAAAGTCATGAAAAATCACATACAGGTGGAAAAAGTCAGTATGTGAGGTATAGGCCTCATTGTTTCTACTAAGGGGTTAAAGATGAGAAACCTATCAAATAAAATTGTTATTCCAATAAAGTAATAATTCAAAGAAAGGTCAAAAAATGCTAGTAAAAGATCACATACAATACCCCGAGAGGAGACATATGACTCCCCTAAATGCCAACCTCATGAAGTATTTACAGTCATTAAGGGAAAAGACTTTATTCAGTATCCACCCCTTTTATGGTGTCATTTTCACAAACACACAACTCCAAAAAGTTTTGCTTGTTCCACAAGAATAAAGGATATGATATGGAAGATTGTTTTATATTAAAGAAAAAAATTGAAAAACTGATAGCTAATGGTTATCTAAAAAAATTCATTAAAGGGCATACCCACATAAAATATGATAGAGAAGAGTTCAACCAACCTGCCTAAGCCCTACCTAAAATCAATGTGATTCTAAAAGGCACTTCGGCTAAGAGAGATACTTCTAATGGCAAGAAGAAGTATGGAAAATAGATCCTCATAATGGCTCATTAACAGAAACCATGGCACAGGCCTATAACTTTTACTCTAGAAAATAAAGAGGAGGTGACTTACACTTATGAGAACACACTTATAGTTATTTCTAAACATCAAATCCACAAGGTGTTGGTAGATGATAGGAGCTCAGTTAACATCTTGTCTAGAGATGTGATGTCCCAAATAGAGATAAATTCCTAAAAAATAACTCCTATAAAAACCCATTTGATTGGGATTGAAGAATCAAGACTGCTAATAAACGGTGTCTTGGAGATCTCAATCATAAAAGGCATGTATCTTAAGTGTCTTACCCTTCAACCAACCTTTATATTATCGTGGCATGCATGAGATTGAATGGTAAGTTTCACTCTTAGATTAAAAGGGTTTTAGATGTGTTGGGATAAATTATAAAATTATGACTTGAAAGATTTAGAAGTCGTCACCTAGTATTTTGATCATTAGAAAACCTATTGACCTACAAGATTCTAAGGGGATTAGTTATACACGAGAAAGACGCATCATTCTCAATGCACTCTACCTATGATAAGTTGTATTGTTGATTGATTGTGTTCTTTCTAACTATATTTTTATTTGTTAGTTTGTCTAAGGTTTAAGATAGATCCTCCTCAATAAGAAAGTATCTCCTTAATCAAACTAAAATCTATTTATTCTAAAGCTCAAAATTTAAATGTTATATTTATTTATACTCTATATTTTTTTAACTTAGGGATATACTTTATAATGTAATTTTATACCCTCAAATATTAAGTCTATAATTGATTCCTAATATTTTATTTTTATCTATTCATTTAATTTAATATCAAGAATATACATTACATTGTAAAATTCATATCCCAAATGTTACTTAAACAAATTAGTTTTATGGTGTTTTTCATTTTCTAAATAAGGAATTTTTGTATTTTTTAAATTTTAAAGAAAAGCTAATATTTTTAATGCTAGATCAATATCCTATAGTGTAAGTTTACAGCTCTTCTATTAAGTAAAATGATTGGAAAAACATATCAGGGACCATAAATAATGTTGAAA